GCCGGGGCCGGGGCCGGGGCCGGGCGCTGTCGGGCCGCAGCAGGCGGAGCGCGGGGCAGGCAGGCGCCTCCGTGCCGGGGGAGCGCCAGCCTGCCCGAGCGGTCCCCCAGAGCCGGCTCAGTCTGAAGCCCCGCGGCCGGGCTGTGCCAGGGCCTCTGGCGCCCTCTGCTGCCTCCCGGACTGCGCTCGGGGGCGCAGCTGCTTCGCTGTTGGCCTGGGGCTCCCGCCTGCTCCCCTTGAAATTGGCAGGAGTGCCCGAGGCGCGTGCAATGCATGGTCACAGGGGCTGGCTCAGGCCAGCAGCCGTTGACCTGCGGAAAGCCTTTTCCAGGCACGGTCTCCGGCCTGCCCTGGGAGGGGAAGAGCTGGCAGGAGCGGGGGGACGCATGGGGGTGCCAAGAACCGGGCGTGGGGGGAGAAGGGCGGCTCTGGGAAAGGCGCAGAGGTGGGGGAGACGCATCTCAGCGCCTCAAACGTTGCAGCCTTATCGGGCTGGAAAGCACTAAACTCCTGGGGGGGAAGAAAAGATTAACGAGAGCCTTATTAAAGAGCAATTCGTCAGAGAGCTGCGCTCGCGAGATAGGGCTGGCAGCCAGTCAGCGCGCGGGCACATGCAAGGAAGGCAGGGAAACAAATCCACTGTCAGATTGCGACGTTATAGCAAGAGATCCATTTGCAGATAACAAGCTGTCTTCGCCTCTCCACGTTTCTTTCTGGCGCCGTCCCTTTCGGAAACAAACCGGGCAGTCTCCATTATCTGAGAGCCAACCACCTTTCCCATTCCCGCAGCCCCTGCCTGCTCTGAATAGGAATGATTTCCTCCCCTACCCAGTTCCCCTCCAGGGCCGGGAGGGTTCAGGGCCTGACATGAGCGGTGGCAGCGCTCCCCCGGGGCCAGGAGCTATTGCAAGGCCTGGTCTCGCCCTGATCCACACTCGTGTTTTGTTCCACGGGAGCCCCTGGACGGGCAGCATGTTACCTCTTCACTCTGCAAGAGCCTGCATGTGACCCCAATGGTGGTCTGCACGGGCAGTCGCTCCTTTCTATAAATAGCCCCTGCTCTGGGTTTAATGGACCGTTTTCCTACCGGTCCCTTCAGTGGCTGGAGCGATGAGCTTTTTCATCATCATTTTAATTTAGCACGGCAAGCAGAACTGATAAAGTAACGCACCGCTGGGTTTGTTCTGTGTTGCCAGGGTTATAGAGGGACATCGCAGCAGCACACAATGTAGGTGTTATTGAAAGTAAACTGAAAAGGAAGTATCCCACCATTTTGGCTTTTGAAGGAGGAA